AAAGGCTTTCACTTCATATTCATAATCTTAAAATTTCTGTCGCTATTAAAATTTAGTACTTAAAGGTTTCTAAGATCTTCAGATGATTTGAATTTTCACATTCAAATTTGGGAATTACTAATCTTATTTTTTTTCATTTGTAACTCATGAAAACAAAATTATTCTCCCTTTAGATAGTCTTCTTAGAGGGTACTGCTTACTGGCTTTTCATTTCATTCTGTAATATTTGCAAATGGACAATCTAATTCATGGAGATTTTCATAGCAACACCTGGAGGGTTTAATTTGTTTTTCTTTTTAAAATTAAGATTTATTGACTATGACAAAATGATTTGTTGCCAATGACTGAACCCATTAAGGAATGAGTAATTTGCCTATTTTTTATTTAGGCATAGTGATGAGCACCTATTCTTCATGGGTAGACTGGATTTCTGATGCCAATTTCCAGTTCCTCTGACCTGGAAAAGACTAATAATAATATCCTTGGAACTAAGGGACTAGACCTTCTTCTGATGTAATTGAGATTTTTTTCTTCTAAATTTGACTTTTGTTTTTCTCAGTCTTATGACTATGATATTCTAGGCTGGGACATCTGCTTTTGAATTTGGGCATTATTAAATATCATGTTAAAGTCTTTGTGTTTATTACTTACGTGTTAATAATACATTGAACAAAATGAGACAATCTTTGTAACTTATATAAAACATTGTTACTTTTATTGATATGCATGTCAAAAAACGTTGTGGCTTGCTTTATTACTTTTAAAATTTATACATACCTATTTTAAAATTTAGCTGTAATGGCTATGGCTGCTTGATGTGGATGCTTGGCTTTGTTCTTGCTGACAATCTTATTCTTTACACTGTCGCCCTGGTAGGAAAGAAGACTGGTTCAACTGGAATTCAGAATGAGGTGCTCTAGTCCTAAATTCTGCTTTCCTTTTTGTAATTCTAAAATATGATCTAAGCTCACTATGATGTACCATTTGAGAGAAATGCCAAGCCAAAGAGGTTTTAATAAATGCCAAGTGATGTGCCAGTTTGCCTTTTAATAGACATGTTTAGAAAGTATTTAGAGGAACCTGGTGAACATATTGGCACTTAAAAAAAAACAACACTGTGTTCAGCTATAACATCAAATGAAGACCTAGTTTATGTTAAAAATCTCTCTAGGCAATTGATTTTGTAACTTCACTTAATGTGAGTACAGGATTTATCTATTCTTCTTACTAGAATATTTCATTATAGGACTCCACTCCTTACTGCTGTGTGTCATGCTCCTGTGTCTTGCTCCATCTTTAATATATTTTAAGAACAATTATTCATCATTCTATGATGTAATATTGTCCTTCCAATATTATATCAGTCTTCCTCAAATTGGTATTGTAGGTTTTCCTCTGAGTACTGTTGAACACTTCAGCATTTTCTTATACTTAGGCAATTTAGGAAGTTTCACTGTCCATTTATGCTGCTGGATTCTACTATTTATTAATGCACCTCAATAATTCATTAATTTTAATAGCAGATGACCTTCAGTACTTCAATTTCATTTTGGAAAACTTATAACACAGTATTCTCTTCAATTATTTATTTTAAATATTAAATTTGATATTCATGTTGTTTTATTTCTGCTATTTCTTCTTTGTTAATCCAGTTAAAGTACAAAATGTCTGCATTGCCCACTAATATTTAGCTCTATGATGATAATAAATTTTCATGAAATCCATGGCTAATTTTAGTTTTACTCTTTCATTCTTAGTACTTATGTTACTTTTTTGAACTCAGTCTATTATAAAGCAAAGTCTTTTTGTTATATTATTTTCCAGCAATATAGTCCCTAAAGATGAAAAATATTCAGCACATTTGTTGTGATTTATTAAGTTGCTTTAACTCAGTATTTCAAATCAAGCCAATACAGTTGTCAAAGTTCAAGAACAGCAATAGAAATTTATTTTGGAAGATTGTATTTTTAATTTTATTAATAACCCATAACTATCTTGCTTCTTCTAATTCTAGCTCAAAGTTTAAATCAAACAGTGTAATACAACATAATATTTCCTCCTATATTTTAGGAGAAACTAGTTTCTGAGAATAACTGCCATCTTATAAAATATTTCTGAAAAAAAATGAAACAATGCTTAAGAGAATGGTCTTTTTGATTTCATTATGTACATTTATGTTCTGTAGTAAATAAGCATTTGTTTCAGAGATATTTAGAGGAATAAAATATGTGTAAGGGGGAAAACAGTCCTTTGAAAAATAAGATAAGTAAAATAAACTGTAATGAATTAGTACCTATATTGACATGAGTTTGAATTTAGTTACTATTTAATCTCTCTGCCCTCTAAAAGCATAATATAAAATTGTGCTAAAAAATTAAAAAATGACAAATAGTACGTTAAAAGAAATAGGCAATCTTGTGATGGAAGATAATCAGAAATGCGTCAAGATCAGAAAATAGCAACCAGAAATGTTATTTTAAAAGTTGGCAGCAGAGTTAAATATATTTAATTTACAATGTAAAATGATAAAGCGAATGGTAGAGAAATACTGCTAGACTATTAGGTACATAATGAGCAAGTAGCATACTCAACAGGTACATAGTCAAGGGATAGAGGAAAGTGGGTAAGTTCTGGTTAAGAACCTGAATGGAGAAAGATGATTGGCAGATCTCTGAAGTCCAGGAAGGTAAAGAGAATTCAGAGTCCAAGAGGCAGTTATAATATTATAACCAAGAAGGGGCTGTCAAGTTCTGATTCTAGAATTTCTAGGTTTTTTCTAAACTTGTACCTATGAGATTTGTTATAAAATAATTTACAGGGAGAAGGAAGCTAGAGTCCCTAGAACTATTTTTCTTCTTAAATTAGGCACTCAGGAGAGACTCAGGAAAGATTTATATAATAATAACAGGTAACAGTTCTTGAGTAAAAGTTGGGAACTAGGTACTAAATTAATATTTTAAGTACATTATTTTTAATATTCAATTTATGCTATTAGGTTTATCTCTGAATCATTTTATCTTAATTGTCAGCTTGACTAAGAGAGCTGACCAATACAATCTTCATTATATAGATGAAGCAACCGAAGCAGGAATATTAAATAATTTAAGTCCACACAATTAATAAAGAATAGAGTCTGGATTGGAAGACAGTTTGACTCCAAAGTTGCAGTATTATACTCTTCTACAACTAGAGAAGATAAGATCCTAGAATGAATATGATTCAGTTCTTGTGAGATTTACCTTTGTACATAATTTTAAGTAGTGTAAATTTATAACTATTCACAACTCTTATGTTTAAATATGTACTTAATAAATAGATACCATGACTATAATATTTATGACAAATAATTCTAGATAATAAAATCTCCAATAGAATGAGAAGTATACATTTTGAATTTTTCTAGTGATTTCTCTAATCTTTTTTGTTCTTTTATCTTAAATGCATTTCACACACCTTGATTATTGTGCTTTTACTATTTACTAGGTAATGTTATTGTTGACAGAGGGATTAGCAAGGCAGAAAGCATATCTTCATGAATTTAGAGTCTATTGGTAGAGACAGTCAATAAACACACACATATTGTACTGTCCCTTTGATATAAGAGCTATGAAGAAAAATAAAGACTAAGGATAAAGAATGAAAGAGGTTACTTTAGAAAGGGTTTCAGTAAAGGACTCTAGAAAGATATATTTTAAAAATACTTGAACAAAAATGAACAAAGCTTCTAAAATATGCATGAGGAGAATATGAGGAAGAGGAAATAAGTGCAAATACATTGAATTTGGAAAACAAGGAATATTAGGAGATAGAGCTTGAAAGATAGTTAAGAATGAGATCATGAAGGACTTACTAGGCCATGATATAAGGTTTTTATGGTAACCAGATGGGAAGCCATTGTGGGATTCTGACATAGGAATCATCATGATTGGATTTTTAACACTTGTAACCATTCCAGCTATCATGGAGATATTAAAGTAATTCTAAAGGCAATGTACCAAATAATTGCTCAAGATTTAAGGCTTCAATTTTGGATAAGAATAAAAAGACACTTGCAAAGTTTTTAGCTTGACAAATTCCTTGGATGAATAATGATGTGAGGATTGAGGAGAGGGTAATCTGGTTTCTCTCTTAGAAGCATTAAATGGGAAATGTCTATTAAATATGCAAATGAGGACATGGAAAGTAGGCTCTTAGGTGAACAAGTCAAGAGACAATGAAGAAGTTCTGAGAAGGGGATATAAATATACGATTTCCAAAACCCTAAGATTAAATGACAACAGCTAGAAAATGAGGGCACATAGAAAAAGTGCAGAAAAAAATGAACTCTGAATCACTCAAGCACTTAATAAGCAGAGAAAACATAGACTATGGGTCAGAGGAAAAATGAACAAGAAAATAAAAACGGCTTGTGTAGTGTCTTGAAGAGAGTGTTTCAATAAGGAAGGAAGGAATGTCTATGTCAAATGCTGCTGAGAAACAGAGTAACATTAGGATTAAATATAGACCAAAAATCCCCAGAACTTTATAGAGTTTGTCATTTTCCTTGAACAAAGTAACATTAGTGGAATGGTTGTCATCAAAACCCTAAGATGTGACATGGAGAAGTAAATATAAACCCTTTGAGAAATTTTGCTGAAGTGAAAAGTGCATAGTAACTAAATATAAAGACATATAAAGCATGTAAAGACACCTCTCTTTTTCTTTAATGAGTTGTTACATGTGTTCAAATAGAAATCATCGAACAATCAGAGAAAAAACTGACTACATTTGAAAAGAGGGTATAACTGAAGGAACAAAAGTCTTGAGATGAAGAGGTAGGTGAAATGGACATATTAACCTTAGGTAGAAGGTAGGGACTTTTCATGCTTATAATAGCACAATTCAGCATACAGACAAATAGACAAAACCATGATAACAGTTGAAGCAATAAGGGGAGAGAGGTTTTCTTTTTTTAATTCAATTTATGCAGTGCACTTAGAAATGCGTTCTTTACCCAACAGTTGGGAGAGAGGAAGATGCTGGAGATTTGATAATCCATCTCTGAGACTGGGACAGTGAACTCACCTGGGCTATATACATCAGAATCACAGAGAATGCTGTTGAGATAAGAAGTCGCAAATGTAAAGTAAGTCTAAACAACACAGTTGTGTTTGCTTTCTACAGGCACTGAGCAAAATGAATGTGGGCAAGGTGTGAGAAATTTTTTGGGGGGTACCGGGGATCAAAGTTGGGTCCTTGCGCTTGTGCAGCGGGCGGCAAAATCACTGAGCTAAATCCCCGGCTCTAAGGTGTGAAAAATTTAATGAAGACTGAGTTGTTATTTTCAAGTTAGTATAGGTAAGAGAAGTGCAAGGGAGTTTTTGTTTTAAAATAGGAAAGATTTGTGAGCCAGGAATCTGAACTGGAAAAAAAGAAAATAAGACAATAAACGGACTGATGGCCAGCAGAAAAATAATACTATTAATGGATTAGTGTCTCAATGGGTTGATAGTTATAGGAGTAGGATTAATGATGACAGGGAGTGACCTAGAAAGACAGAAATTGGTGTTTAGAGATGTGAACCCGTCTACAATGTAAGATCTTTGAAATACAGAAAAATATTATAATTTAGCTACTACAGTCATATGCATCTTAACCTACCATTGGAACTGGCTGCATTAAGGGGGAACTTTCTTTACCATACTAATAATTTAGGCAAGTGATCTGTAATATAAGCTGCTGAGTGATGGAAAATTTGAACTTTGTTTTCAAAATGACATTTTTAAGATTTATCCTCTCATGTAAAAGGCTCTTCCCTGTAAATTTGCAATTAATGTAACTTTAACAACCTAATTTTTAATTCTGAATATTTTTAGTATAAAAGTTTAAGGGATTTGTATGAAAAATAACACTGTTATCACTATATAGGACGCCACTATATCTTGATACATACATCTGAAGTCTCTTATTAGGAGATAATTTAACAACTTTCTGCACATTTGAGATAATGGTTTAGTCAGTGTGTTATAAATGCAAAGTAGTTCTTGGACCTGATTTTATTTCTTCTGCATAATTTCATCGTAGTCTGTATAATTTACCTTTTGACTCTGGATAAACGCACACAACTTTTATAAATTTATAAGTTGCAAAAGCAGTACATTTTAAGAAAATCTTTGCAGTAACCCTCAATTTTGCTGTAATGTACATGCATATTACATAGAAATGTTGAACCTTGTGAAATATTGAGGTTACTGGAATTTAAAGATGTTATGGTGTTATCACTTATTTAACATATGCATTTACATGTACTTATATGTATGTGTATGTGAAAATTGTTAATTTTATGGAAAATAGATGGCAAGTTCATTGAACTAGCTTGTTTTGGAAAAGATTCTGTGTATGTTTTCTCTGTATACTAGCAAAATAGCTTAGTTTTATTTGAGGGATAAATAAAAACTAAATGTAAATTCACGTTTATTGTAAGTCCCTAAATGACATGCCCTTTCATCAATATAATTTAAATATTTGGGAATCATAACAAGTTCTTGGCACTAGCTTGATCTTGTGGTGTTATAATGTATGTTTTTTATACAAACAGATGTTTTTATATGATTACATTTGTAGTAGTCATATGGTTGGATGTAGTTTAGCAAGTAAAAAAACCTTAACATTGTCAACTAGTACCTTGTGAATAACTTCAATGGATTTTAAAATGTTTTCAGGAATACATGTAATTCTAAAGTATATTAAATTTCTAAAATACATATAAATAATTTTTATAAATATGTAGCAAATGTATCATACATCTACATTTCTTTCTGACATTCAGAAATCTACTGTCTCACTACAAAAAAATAGGAACTCCAAAGGCCAATTTGAGGCAATAATGATATAGAAATTTGGATTTCCCTTCTATGAAGGTTTTGATATTCTTTTTGACCTTGATTTGATTGTTTAATCTATGATTCTGGCTTTTCTGTGTTTTACTATATAGTTGAATATTCGTATTTTAAGGTTGAGAAAAAAGGACTCTGAGAATCACTGTTTTCCAGAGGAAGAAACTAGTGCACACGGACCAAGGCTTGCTGAAGTGCCACGTCATGAGGAAAGGACAGACTGAACTGAAATTCTGACTTCCAGTCATGTGTTCTTTCATGTCAAGGTGCAGTAGGCCTGACGTATTAGAGGGGTACACTGAAGGGATTTGATCAACAGGAAGTTTGCTGCGAAAGGAAAGCAAGAGCAGTATGACTTTCTGCTGGAGAAAAAGCAAAATACAATGCAGTGTTTCTCTCAGTTTGGAGGGAAAAAGAATGAATGAAATATAGATAACTTTAAAAGAGCATCATATAAGGCTGGTATCACATCAATCCATAGTGTTTATTTTGTACAAGCTGGTGACATTTAGAGGGAACTGAGAGTTCCAGCAGTTTTCAGTAGGTGGTCAGCTTGACATTTCTGTATAATGTCTCACTGGGCTAATAAAACCTGTCAATTCCTGCTGCTTCCATTTTCATTTTATTCTTTCTGTTCATTTAAAGTAACAATTTAGTAAATCATAGTATATAGGCAAGTGCTAAAGCCAAGTGTTTATACATACTAAAATTTTTTAAGCCTGAAATTTTTTACCTAACAGATGGAAGAATTGTGAGCAATTTTGCTGGAACTCTGTAGCTTTATTTTTTTTTTTAATTTCATTTGTTAACATTTAAATATTCAGTTTATGTCCAATAAAACAATCATATTTTAAAATAAGCCCCACAGTTATTATCAAAACAGATTCGTGTGGTTTGGCAACTAGCAAATAATGTGGACATCTGTTACTGAGAAAATAAACCAAAATAAATTGAACCATAGTGAATGTTGTTGTAATTTGATAATTAATTGATATTTTAAACTACAAGTTTATACTACCTAACATCAGCTGGACCTTTGTAATTATGTCTAATTTACAGCAAGTTATCTCTCCCACAGATTTATTTCTTGTTTCAGTGATTCTTCAAATTTTTTAAACCCCAAAGCATAGAACCACCATTCAGCTCAGTATTATCTTTCTTGAAAAATTACCCAGTTCTCTGTATTTATGTAAATTGTTGTAATCCAGGTTGCTCTTTCATTTTATTATCTCTTCTTTTGCATTTTAATTCGTTTTGGTTCCTTCCTACCGCTGAGGAAGCAGGTGAGAGTCTTCACGTGTTACTTGTGTCTATCTTTACTTTGAATTCCACGTTCCCTCAGAGGAGGAGATTTTTATATCAATTGTCTCTTTTTTGAAAGTGTGATTGAGGTAGGCATCGGCACCTCCTCTTGTTTGGGGGTTTGAGACTGCAGGGCCAACACTGCTTGTTCCCATCCAAGTCCAGAGACTTCAGTTGTACCTTCTGGTTATGTAAGACCTGGACCTGTTTGGAGAGTGTGTGAGTATCTTAAAACATTAAAGAAGGTTTCCAATGGAGGAGTAGGAAAGGAATTTATCCTCCAAGACAGTGGTATTTGCATTTGAATGGGGAAGGATCATACACAGGTATTCCATAAGGAAAGCAATTAATCTATTTTAAAATACAACGTATGTACCTTTGCTCTTTGTTTTATTGTTCTTTTCGTCTTTTCATGCGTCAAGGATTCCTCTGAAATGCTGCATCATCAATGACAGTAACAACAAAGGAAAGACCTTCAACTATTTGAAGAATTAACCTGTTTCTTTCCTTTTCTGCAATCCAATTTTTTAAAAAAGAATTCTATTTATTGCCTACATTCTTTAGGTCTCTAATATTTTTCAGCTTGCACCTAGATAACCCTTTATTTCACCACCAATATTTTGAACTATCACCAACATGATAACATGTATGACCTAGTTTTCTACTACCATTCCTACAAGAAAATACCTATATCCTGATTCATTCATACTGAAATATTCCCTGTATAGTGAGGTTTCTCCTAGTCAAGGTTAATTTCTGCACTTAATCTCTGTCTCCTCCCTTCTCCATCCCCAGGGCATTCCAGCATCAATTAATTCATTTTTCTGGGGCCTGGGGTTTAGCTTAGCAGCACTGTGCATACCTCACAAGCACAAGATCCTGAGTTCCATCCCCTGTACCAAAAAAAAAAAATCTCTCCTTGGCCTTTTGGCTAAGATCAAACGTAATTCTTTTTTCTGTCTTCAAATTCTAGTTCTCTCTACTAGGTCCTTGACTTTTGTATATAAATAGTGGAAGTCTTAATAAAAGAACAATGTCACTCAATCTAAGTGTTTGTTTCCGCTATTGCCTCACTGTTTTTTCTCATATAGTACTTTTAAAATTTTTCATTCATTGCTAAGGTAGATATTTATTGAGTGCCTACTATGTGCTAAACACTATTTTAAGCACTAAAAATATGTAGCAAACATCATTGAAAATCCACCTCTTCAAGGCGCTGTTAGCCTTGTAGGAGGAGATGATGTAAACAACTGAAATATATAGTATGGGAAAAGGTAATAAGCACCAGAATGAAAAAAAGAGCGAAAAGTGGGAAAAAAGCTTAAGACATGCTTGGGGTCCTTTTAAATCCAGAGCTCAGAAAATGCTGAGCAGCCTCTTGAATGACACCAGTGAGTTAGTTCTATACTTCCATGAAGACATCACCAAAGACACTAAGCACTCCTCCTTAGTAATTCCTTCTTTATTTGACTGTTCCAACCATTTGAGACTCTAACCTGTCAGGACATGGCAAGCTTACCTTGGATTGTGTTAGTTACTGAATTAGCCAAAAGGTTAAAAAAGAGATTGCAGGGGGATATACACAGAAGCTCCACATTGTTTCTAAAATGCTGAGCAACCCAATGTTTTTATACTTTCTAGTTTGTAGCAAAGCATATTTTACCTCTGTATTTCAGTCTGACTTAGTACTATGTTGTATACATTTTTGAGCCATTCTTGAATACGGCATGGAAGTTTCTTAATGACTTTTGCCCACTATGAATGACCTTTCTAAATTATTAAAGCTCTAGTGATTTTTCTAGGGTACCACCTTAAGAAGTGCTTTGAATTTGAGTTATATTTTTTGAAATTTTCTTTCTTTTCACAGTGTTAAATATATTCTTATATTCTTGGATTTTTCTTCCTTGTAGAATTGCATGAAGAGATCTTATTTGCATCTTCAATTTAAGCATTTCAATGTGAAAAACTGAGCTTCACATCTTTACTTATGTAGAATAAATAAATTTTACTCTTGCTACCGCTGAATAATTCTTTACCAAGAAAAGGCTGAGTAAAGGGATTGTGTTTCTGACTTTTATAATGTTATTGAGAACCTAAACTTTCACTTTAGTGATATAATAACCAATAGGCCAATCTTTTTAATTAGATGAAGATTCTTGATATTAATGGAGATAAACAGATATGAGCTGGCAAACTTTAATCTTAAAGGAATTTAATCAATTACTGTATACATAGTAACAGAGGTACAAATGTAAGATGAGCCAGTATAAGTTAATTCTTGACTTTGAAAACCTACCAACTTGTCCAAAGTGACAAATTTATAATTCTCTATTTACTTCTCTGAAAATGATGACAATCTGGTAACTGTTTAAGAGACAATAATTTGAAGTAGTTAAAGTATTATAGAACATCTAATCTTTTTACCAAACTTAATTTTCTTAATTGTCTATAGGGGAAAGAAAAGTTACTCAAAATTGTATTGCAAACATGTAAGTAGTTAATTAATAAAGAATTTACCACAGACAGTTTTCTAAATAGAATTACACATTACACTATATATCTTTCAAAATTGAAGGGATAGTAAGAATTAAAATGCTTAAGAGTTTGTCTTTATATTCCAAATAGCTTGCAATATTTACTTAAAGTACACAGTGTTTCTTTTTAACCTTATTTTCTCCATGTATTGTTCTTAGAAAGAACAAACTAACTATGAATATAAACAAAATTATAAAACTGTGCAAAGGGGAAGGGGAAATGGGAGGGGCAGGGGGAAAGAAAGAAGGGAATGGAATTAATATGAAAAAAAGAAAAAATGGAAACAAAGTCTTTGTAGATAGGGAGAGGTGGAGGGGTTGAAGGGAGGGCAGGGGAAGAGGGAAAAATAAGAACCAAAATGGATTATGTAAAGATGCGAATTTCCAATAATGAATGCCATTATATTGTATACCTTAAATGTACCAATATAATTAATAAAAAAATAAAATGGAAAACAAAACAAAACAAAAAACCCCTGTATTTTCGTTTTGGGAAGCTGGGGAAGTAAAATCAAAACAATGAAATAAACACTGCATTCACATGAAAACGCTTTGGTAAGGTTAAAAAAGACAGCATTCATTTCTCAAATAGCAAAGAAAAGGACATTTGGTAATACTTGAATGACAAGAACTTTAACCAGAGCTGGTAAATTAAGTGTTTGAATATTTGAAAGTGCATGTTTTAAGCCATAGTATTTTTTTAAAAGTAAAAATCAAAATTTCTTCAAGAGCAACTATTGAAAAATAAAAAAGAAAGATTTTATAGGTAAAACTAAGATATTTTTCATAGTCTTCAAGTGAATTACTTAAATTGATGCAGAAATCAGAATTTCAATTATCATTAAGAAGAAGAAATGATATATTCTAATCTGTAGTGCTAAATCAGGAATTAATTGTTGCTCTAAAAGGGTGCTTGAAATTCAGCAGTAATATTTGGTAGATGCCTACATCACTATTTGCAGATCTGGAACCCTGTGAACTACAGAACAGTATCTAATCAAGATCCCATCCTCTTGTATTCCCTGAGGGGAGGGGAAGTAGTTCCTACAGAACTAGTGATAGCATAAACATGTCTTCATCATGAGTTTAGGTTTTAAGATTTCAATATGTAATTGAGCTTTTGCTTCTGCATAAATAACTTTTGCCAATAAAAATGGGCTTATTATGGTTAAGTTACTAAGTGTTATGGAGATACAGCATCAAATAGATTATAAAATGCTTTTAATGTAAGAGGGATTAGGCAGTTACAATATGTATATAAATAGATCGCAAAGTTATGACTATTTTGTTCAATAACTTTCCATGATTGCCTGAAACAATTCCTATCTTGCAGCAGGCACTCAATATGTATTTGTTGGATAGATGAACAAGATAAACATTAAAGTGTAAAAGTGTTCTAAATGTTCAGAAGGCATATGCTGGCGTATGATGTATGTGGAATCATTCATGAGTCCCATCCCTGGCCATTGCTCAGTGCAGTGTTCAGTGGTGCTAGACATAAACCCCATGATGGAGAGTAAGCAAGATGGGAGCCATTACATCCCTTCCCACTTTATTCATTTGTCCATTCATCATTCTCTAATCTGACAGCAGGAGAGTGAAGAGGTAAAAGATCCATTAATGAGGTCACCATAGGTTGGGGATAAAGACAAACCATTAAAATATATGATGATAAATGCTATGAAAGGTTGTATGTGATTATGTGCCTGTACAATGTTTCAGATCATCCGTTGCATCTGTTTTTGTCATTTTCTGTGTTGAATTACCAGGAGTCAGAATTAACCTGCTAAATTTATTGCTTAGAGTGACATTGACCTTGAACTTAGTTCCAGTTCTTCTCCTTAACATTACTTTTATGTATGTAATTGTCCACATTGATAACATTCCACATTTTGATTTCTGATTAGATATACCTTTAATGGTACTACATTCCATTGTTTGGAATTTGGTTTATTTATTTGGTTTGGAACTTATTTGCATTGTTGTAAATCTTTCCTAAATACAAATATAGAACTTATTTTGCTAATTGACCTTGTGCATTTAGTAGGCCATATTATAAA